TACATTGCGATCGTCCAGAACAACAGATAATATGACAAGTGATGACAAAATGGAAGGCTGAAGGTGTTTTGACCAACACCATCGTGGCTCCCTGCAGCTTCCGGCTCCAAACAAAGAAATGCAATTTTCTCGAGCTTTATTTGCCGCTAAAACTTCAACTTCAAAAAGCTAAAAGGCCCTTGGATTTCATTCGATTTTTCTAAAATTTGGAGAGTTTAAAAAGAAACTCGTGACCCAAAAAAGGGTGTCTCCGATTTTTGAAATTTAATTTCTTTCCAAAGTTATGACGCTTTTTACTTTAAACAACACTCCAACACTCCAACATAGTTTAAAATGTACGTGTCCGTTAACGTTTTTACTGAGGCATGGTCAAATTTCGCTTCGAGGACAATAACGTGAACAACAATTTAAAAAATCGTATTTTGAAGATTTCTTCATAAACTATGTTTATCCAGCTTTCAGAAAATGTATACTTTGTATGTGTTATGCTACAAAGCAAGCGCGTAATTTAAGTTTGCGCGCATAGTGGTCGTAAACGTATCCTAATACCTTAAAGCAGTCATAAAATCTAAATTGTCATAAGAGGTATGGCAGTTATTTTAAATATTCGTGTGTTCGATCCATTGAAGGTCGGGGAATTTCAAAGTGTCTGTATTGTTGAAGTTGTGCATTCTTTAGTTTATCGTTGGTATTTGTGAATATTTGAGGCTAATCCTGAGAATATGAGTCTATAATGAAGAAAGACAGTCATAGTTGACTTATTCCACTGGAAATGGTCTTTTTTCTCTCAAGGCTTTTAGTTTTGAAAAAAGTCCCCACCCAAGAGTCGTATAAGAGTTTCTTTTAAAACCTTGTAATTAATTTACATAGCCCTACAAATCTGATTAGGATCGATTAAGATCGCATTATCCCGACCGAAACGTAAAAATGAGATAAAATTATCTAACCCACTTCTCGTTTATAGAAGTATTTTCTCATTGTAGTTTATCTGCGAAGCTTTTTTTTTTTGAATTTCTGGAAAATCAAATGAAACGCACTCATGCTTAAATATAGTCATAAGGTTGGAACTCGTTTTATATTTTTAAGGACATGCGTAATAGAGAAATTAYGAGCCTCGTATTTATATTAATATATTAATAGTTTATTAAAAATTTCCCTCTGATAAACAAATAACCTTCCTTACAATACACTAGATTTCTGTGCCAAAAAGTTCTCACAAAAATTAATTACTTATTCAGTATATTGAAATTCGTAGTAACAGGAAAGCTTGTACGTCTTTTAATTCATAAGCATGCTTTAGAAGATACAGTCAATGTCATTAACGTTGTCCACCGAAAAAAGACATTTAACTCGTGAATCGAAAATCCAGAATGCCCTGACCATTTAGTGAGGATTTAAGATGGAGAATGGCATTTCAGCATTTGTTTTATGCCAGAACCTTCGAGGAAACACGTGATATTTCTTTTAGTCTAAATGTGTAAATGTCTAAATATGTAAATGTCTTTTTTTGGAGGACAACGTTAATGACATTGACTGTATATTCTAGATTGATTAGCTTATTCTTCGTGGTTAAGAACTCCAGCAAGCATAAGATACGAAATTTGCATTATGGCGTCATTTACTATCATTACCACTCCCTTGCACACTTTCTTTTGTTCAGTGATTTCTAATAATACAAATTTGAATAAGAAAGAAAATTCGCGAAGTATTTTGGTGGTGGTAGTAAAATGACATCATCATGCAAACGGCCTATTTCCAGATCTGTAGACACTACTTCGGTTTTTCAGAGCGATTTCCATTAGTTGAACTGACCAGTCCTAGCGCCCAGTTCTCAAATGGTACGCGTCAGTTCTATAGAACTGATTGACCGAATTCTAAAAACTCATTAAGAACTGACGCTTACCACAAAGATACTTAACTAAACAAATGTAAGTGTGTAATTTACCTGCTAATGCCAAACAGTTAACTAAACAAAGTATTTACACTACATCTCTTTAATGCACTCGTAAGCCATACCCATAAAGTAAGAATTACTGGTTTGCACTCTAGTTTCCATGGTAATAAAAGTACTTTAGTCAGTCTTTGTTTGTTTTGACTGGTAGAAAGTAGTAAAAACCCTAGTAGTGAGAACACGTTGATCRCTTCCTCTAAACCTTTGATTCTTTTACATGGCAGAGAGTTCAAGGAATACCGTAAAAAAAAACAACAATTTTTGGGAAATTTTACAGACAGGACATTTAATTCTAAAAGCAAGACTCGATATTAGCCGTTCTGGAGTTGCAGAATGCGTTGCATCGTGAGGCTGTTTAATGGGACGCATTATTACTTATATGGCGTCTTTTTCGCTTGCTGACAGCAAAAAGAGAAAGAAAAGTGATAGGAAATCTTAATTGTYGTGCTAATTTTCAAATTTATTTCGTTTCTTGATGTAAAATGTCAACTGATGTATTGATTGATGAAGGGTCCCCCAAACAAACAACAACAACAACAACAACAAACAAAAAACAAAACAAAAAAAAGGAAATTTTTTTGAATATTTCATTTTCTTTTAATTTGAATATATATGTGAGGGACCACGGTAATTGGCACATGCTGTAGTGGATTCCCAGCCACTATATGCATGTATATATTATATAGAACGTGTTTGTGTGTGTATGTATGGGTGTTTMAATGGCAAAGCTAAATAAATAAATAAACAGCCATATAATGCAACACATTTCAACAACTCTACTACGGCTAATACTCATGACCCCAACGGGCAGTTGTGGAACATTGTTTTTTGATGAATCAAAGGTGGTGTAGCGGTAGCACATTTACTTTTCACCTCTGGGGTCTCAGGTTCGATTGCTGGACTTGTAATGGACTACTCACATGTGAGTAGAGTATGTTAGTTTTTGTTACAAGGTAGCAATGTTTTCTTTTTACAAACAACTTAAAGTCAGATAGAAAGTATTCGCTTTCTTGCTGACGAAGTTCTTATTAAAAGTTCTGCTTATTTTTCTCATTTAAAGACTTACATATAATTCTATAGTGGTATAGTGGAGTAGCCCGTGACCACAGAAGCAACAAGGAGGTCTCGGGTTACTTTCATTCCCTAATGGAAAACTAGAAATTATTTTCCGAGTCCAGAATATTAGCTTCGAAGAAACCAATTACACCTTCAATTTTAGTTTTATCGCTGTTTATTTTGAGAGTAAACTTTATGTAATTCTGAATTAACAATAACACAAAAACTCTTTAACATGGCTTACCTAAATGAACTAAAAATAGAACACAAAGCATATTTTAATCTTGGCTTGTGGTCTTGTTAGTTTTTGGCGCCAAACGATTGAACCAGGCCCTGACAGCTTGTCATGTCAAAGCCATCGTATTTGGCTCAAGGTACAAAAACTTTGATGAGATTTTGAGTCACTTGTCGCAATCTTAAATGATATGTCTCCAAAAG